TTGTTACTACTAGTAAGGCACCTGTTACTAGTAGCGTGGCACTTGTTCCTAGTAGCGATGCCCTTTGCTCCGTTCGTAGCGTCCTTGCTATCAGGTGGCACTCCGCTCCACCATGCGGCACTGCACGGGCGGACCAATGTGGTGAACGTGCTCTTGGAGCGTTCGCCGGATTTGGAAGCGCTGAATCGCAAGCGTCGCTCGTCACAAGCGTCGTTGACGGGGAGGGAGGGTTTTGGGTGAGAAAGTGGGCATATTGATCCACCAGGTGTCACCAGGTTTACTGGATTCACCACGGGGAACATAGGGAGCCTGGAGCCAGAGCTTGAGATGCAAGCGTTTTTTAACTTTGTTTTGGTGAGTAACTTGTGCCCACATGCAGCTCCAGCTTTTTCCAGCCAAGGCCAGACGCCGCTCCACGTCGCATCCCTGTACGGCCACTTGGATACCGCCAAAATTCTCTTGGAGAAGGGGGGCCAACGCTGAGGCCAAGGATATTCGAGGCCGGGCATTATTTGTTTGTCGATGTTTGTTGACGCCGCTACTAGGAACAAGAAGCTACGAACGGGGCTCCTGGCCTTACTATATAATAGTAGTAACAAGAAACTACTAGGGTCGTGCCATTGTCTTGATTTCTCTCTTTTTTTAGTTCTTTAGGAGATCTTTGTTGACGCATCAAGGCGCAAGCACCGTGGAAGCCCACCCACCGGCACGGCGCGTACGGGGGGGCATGTTTTGCAGGCTGCACTCCAGCGAACCTCGCCAACAAGACTGGGCATGAGGACATGGAGAATCTCTTGTGCTGAGGTGGGTTCCTGCAGGAGTCAGCACTATTTGTTGTGGGAGAGACCCAGTGCTTAGCACTATCCACTGATGGACCCTGAGGGATTCTGCGAATGCTTCTTGTGCAGGTTGACCTTGGAGGGCATTCAGTGAGGATTCAAAGGAATCTAAAGGAAGTTTTAATCACCTTTTGTCAAAATGATGCAATCCGTTCGTCAACCGTCCAGAAAGGTTCTGTGCTTGATGCAATGGTGAGATGTCACACCACTAAGCACCACTGGTTGGTTAGCAGAAAAGAGCTGAGCCACCAACAGGACCAGTTGTTGCTGCTGGTGTGTTCCTCAACCCCATGCGGTTATCGGGAATTCTTGAACTTCTCGGATGTTGACCCGTTTGGAGTGGAAGATGTATGAAGCTTGTCGGTTGTGGGAACAACTTTGGACCCCCGACCGTTTGGTGCTCCAAGTGGCACTTGCGGGGGTGAAGAATGTAAGAAGATCCTGCCAGCAACCTTTCAACTGCCAGGTAATCATCCCAAATGATAGTGTGAACTGCCGTTTTGGCCGCCATGCCCTCTGGTCAGGCACTTGCGATTGCATAGAGCAGAGCCATTGAGGACAGGGTGAGTTGGTGTGCTTCGTGAGGCTTTGTAAGTCCACTTTGGGTCATCTTTTTGGCGAGCCTCCAGTCACGGACGGACATGAGTGAGTTCAGTTCGACTTCCGGACTCAGTTTGGAACTGAAAACTCGATGCTGCTCTTCCGCAGCCAGGTGCTGGCAGCGGCCGACACGCTTTCGGGCTTATATATCGATTCTAGGACACTGCGGTTGTTTGACGACTCGTCAATTGTCTCACTTGCCAATGTCGCTCGCACACACCGGGTGCATGCCACAGTCCGAGCAAAGCAGGTTCATGAGACGCAGGTGTTCAACCCTGACAGCCAACAAAGATGGGATATACATGTGGATACCTCAACTACGTCCCCAAATTGATCCTTTGCCTTCTTCAGGTGGATCTGTCGGCTGAAAATGCGTGGATGCATCTCCTAACCCCTGTCGCACTGGTGTGAAGATATGTGAAGACCTTCGACCTGAGCATGCAAAGGAAAAGCAGTGCTTTGGTGAACTGAGAAGTCTCAGGTCTTGAAGAAAAAGAGGAGATTGATCAGTTGACGAAAAAATAGGCTTGCTCCCCACTGAGACTTCCTACCGGGCACCGGCTTGAACGCGCAAAAATTCCTTCAGCCTCAGGAGCGTCAAGTAATGTTACCAGATGGAGATTCAAGAAAATCACATCACCAGCAAGTGGCACTCTCCTCCTATGGAGGGTGTCAAGGTTGCATCGAAATGGTTCCTCTCCCCAGGCGCATCGGTGTTGAAGACTCGGTTCTGCCTCAGAGACCTCCTATTTGGGAAGTGATGAGTCAGCAAAGTCCCAAAGTCGGAAATGTCGGTCGAGGGAAAGGCTTTGCACCTTTGCTGCCTGAAATCATCCCTCTTAGAATGACATGTAAAACAATAGCTTCTTGTTACTACTAGTAAGGCACCTGTTACTAGTAGCGTGGCACTTGTTACTAGTAGAAACAATACGTCTAAAGATTGTCTGGTTGCATGTTAGTTTTTGTTCGTTTCTTCTCTGCATGGCTTACCTTTGATGGCCCAAAGCAGGGTTTTGGGCCCGATGGCTCTGGGGCCGCTTTGATTGCCTCGAGCCATGCAGCCCACGGTGCGACCAGGCGCCGTTCCCAAGTATGCGCCGGTGAATTATCAGGTGCGCCGGTGGGTTCACCGGACGGGGCAGTCCGACCTGGGTCTTGATGTGTGGGGCCCAACGGTTGTTCTCACCGGTGAGAGCCATACAAAAGCCATGCTTTTTGCCTCAAGTACCAGATAATGTTTAAAAATTGAATACATGTTAATACATTTTATTACGTACATTCGGCATGGGGGGGGCGGACGAAGATTTGTCTTCCCCAAGAACGAGAAGGGTACTTGATCCTCCAGACTGGGCGATATTTTACGGTAGGACTCTTGTTGGTTGAGGGGACCACCATTTGGGTGTCCACTGATGCACCAGCAAGCTAGTAGAGAAGTGCATAGTCAAAACACGTGCTGCAGATGTGTGCAATTGATCGGCGATTGGTGTAAATTAACCACTTCTTTTATTGTTCATGGCTCTTCTTGCCCTTGTGAGTCCAGAAGGTCTTCACTTTTGCAAGTCTTCACGACATGCTGGTAACCCCTCTGGTGGACAAAGGCCATCCAACAAGTGACAGAAATCTCGAAACTCCATCGATAGATTCGATCGTAGAAGTCTGTAGAAGTAGGAAACCCACAAGAATAGTCAAAATTACATGGAACATGAGCAAACCGTTAAACCTGTACTGTAAGGAAAGGAGATTTGCACCAAAAAGATGCCGCACCAATTCTGCTCCTTTTTGGCGACGCCGCATTCCAGGTCCCCAGGCCGGCGGGGATCCCCGTCACCGTGCCCAATGGCCCACACGGAGTGGCGCCGACCGCATACCAGGACTGCCCGGCCTCCGGAACTTTGGGTTCTCCATGCCGTTGTTTGTTTTTGGCCCGCTCTTAGCTTACTGTTGCTTCTTTTCGTGTGTTTAATTGACTTTCAGCCCGTGGCCCTTCCCCCCTTACTCATTTAAAATGAGGGCTTACTCAATTGAGTAAGATTCAGTAAGGGCAGTGGACGAAAGATAGCTCACGCTCGCACCAGTATTCCTTTGTTTCCGAAAAAGAACTTGTGATGTCCAGGCTTCCAATCACACTTCTTATCTTTCCTCAAAAATGCGCTGGCGGTGACAATGTTTCCAAGGAGAGAGTTTCAGCACGCACAGCTCCGCTTCCAGCTCGCAGGCCTCGCAGACTCCGCGACCAATGATGGTCAAGAACCCGAATGGCAGCATCACCCACTATGCCATGCCTTTTCAGGCAGGGCCTGGCGGATGTTCACTTTACAAGCCTCCTGCTGTTGATGGTGGTGGTGTTGTTGTTGTTGTCGTCGTCGTTGTTGTTGTTGTTCAGGCAGGTGATTTGGTTTTGAAGATTCCTTAAAGCTTCATGAGTCACAAGCTGATTGCCCAAACAAAGAGTAGCTCTAGGCACAAAAGAACAACGCAAAAAGGCACACAAAATTGGCCCATGTGAAGCTACTAGGTGGAGGCCATCGCCACTAGGAACAAGAAGCTACTAGGAGCAAAGGGCATCGCTACTAGGAGCAAGGACACTACTAGTAGCTCCTGGCCGTACTACTAGGAACAAGGACGCTACTAGTAACAAGAAGCCACTTGGGGCTCCTGGCATTGCTACTAGGAGCAAGGACGCTACTAGTCAACCTGCTTCCAGGCACAAGTGGCGCATGCGAAGCCAGTCACGGCGCCTGCGGGCCCTGCGGGCCCTGCGGGCCCTGCAGCACCTGTCCAGGTGGAAGGTTTTTCGGATGGTCCTCGGTGTTTGATGGTATCTCCAAACACATCAAGCCCATGCCTTCGATTTCCAAGGTGTTATCAGGGTCAAGCGTGTGGCCACTGGCCGAGTTTCGGATCCTCGGGACCATCAGTGACACCATCTCACATGTTCCCTTGCTCTTGATCATACACACGTACATCAGAAGGAGAAACATCAAAGATGCCTCGAAGCATCGGTGGATGTGCCCCGGTTGGGTAGTCAGTCTACCATTATCATGGGTGTGTCAATCTACCAAGTAGGCTCCATCACCATGTTGGATGCATGAAGGATTCGCTCGTGCGTCCCCCCTTGCAGGCTCCTATGATGAAGATGCCCGACGGGAGCCTCCGACCTTATGCTCCACCAGTGCAACGTGTGGCTCGGCACTGGCACGAGCCAAGCACTTCAACCAAAACATATGGGAACGAAGACCGACTGAAAGCGGAAAGATGGCTCAGGCCACCGCATCTGCTGTTCGGGCCTCAGACAGGTTACCTGCGCTGTTCGGTCAAACAAGATTCTGCGCAGAATCCCCACCGAAAAGTATTCGAGTCCAGTTTGTTCCTTTTTTGACTGTGAAAGAGTGGAGAGACTGAAGCATCACTGCAACGTGCCATGTTCAGTTTCTTGACCCATGATGACCCTTTGCTGACAAGAATGTTGCCAACCTAGGCAGCTCTCTTCAATGAATTGGATCAAAACAAGGATGGCGTGATCTCCAGGGAAGAGTTCATGCGCATGCAGGTCCCAAGAAAAGGGGGTTCGCTTTCTTTCACCAAGTCGCGTTTCAATATGCGAGCCAATGAGAGTGCAGCTGAGTCCAGCAGTAGCAGTTCAACTCTCGACGCAGGCGAAGCAAATGCCTGCTCCAGTTCCAGCTCCAGTACCAAAGTCTTCAGAAGGCTATACCCAGCCTGCGCAGCCTGCAACTGCACAAGCTGTGACACGGGCCACTAGCCTCAAAAGCCAGGGACATGCACCATACTCATGCAAAGAGATGATGTAACTGTGGGTCAAAACCCTGAGCTCCCAAAAAACAGTAGGTTGACCTCCCAGGTAGTTGACCTTCTGTTCATTCTTGGTGAAAAAGCCGGGGTGTCCCTGTTTTGACCGACTGGCGCCATGTAGTTGCTCATGGTTTCCAAACCGACTGGCACATGTCTGCAAGGCCTTGGGCCTCATGGGCCCCATCGCGAGGTGGTCCGCGCCGACGCCGAGGCCGTGTCAAAGCCCGCCCCTGTGCTGCCGAAAGTGGCTCCGGCTCCAGAGAGCATCCCGCCTGTGGCCACAGCGGCTGTGGCGGTTGCTCGGTCAGGACATCACTTCGGCGGCCAGGGCGGGCCAAGTGAGGATGGCTGTGGCTTGTTGGAAGGTTTCGCAGGATGCCATTAAAAGAGCTTTCACTTCTGATGTGTGCGGGCAAGGAGACCTTGGTTTTTGATGCATCAACTCGCGCGATTCCACACTTGAGTAATGACCCTTTGACTTTCCAGAACTGCGAGGCATTTTTTGTTGAAGCTTCCCAGGAATCCGGTAAAGACCTCACTCGCATCCGAGTGTCGATACAAATACCCAGGACTTGTGTGTGTGTCGCCAAATTTGTGCAGAGGTTTGATTCTAGCTTGCAGAAGGGGTGTCTAGAAGCAATTGTTCCAAGGTTGGATGGATTTCAGATTTGTTTTTGTTTGCCTTTGCCTTGCCTGTATTTGCCAGCTTCCAATAGCATCCCTTTGTTTTGCGTTCTATTTGAATCTAAAGGATGGCTCTAAAGGAAGGTCGTGCGTTTTGGAGATCAAACCATCTGAACGCCAGATCCTGCGAGGCTCCAATTGAGAAGAAGCAGGAGCCGGGCTGATGACACACCATAGATGCGCAGCTCGATACACCCATCTTGCGAACCTTCCATCGCATGCAACTGTCGCAATGTGTTTTGCAAGCTTTGTCAGCAGGTAAGACAATCAATCTAGCTCAGCAACAGGCAGTGTGGCCGCCCAGCAAAGCGACTGGAAATCCCGATTCATAGTGGCACTCTTCTCACAAACCTTAGACAGCTAGCGGCGTTTGCAGACTTCCTACAATCAAAGCTTAGCCCAAACCACAGTGGGTTTAAATCCTCACGAGCCGCTCGCTCGCTCACTTTTGGCCTAAGTATGCATGAACAACAAACTATATGAAGCTTTGGCCTACCAACCACAGGCTGGTTGAGGGGATCAGCAGCCCAGATCCCCACGAGGAGGAGCTTTCCGAAGCTGCAGATGCGGCGGAAGCGAAGAAATGCCACCTGTAACGCAGTGGGGCGAGAGTCCAGCGCCGGGGAGGGAAGAGAGACGTGTTGGTCTCAAGTATATTTCACAGCCAGGCGGGATTTGTGTGGCCGTTCTTCTTTCATATTCTTGTTCAATTCATGTTGTTGAATTGTTTGCCTCAATGGACATTAGTATCGGTGGTCAGGAGAGTATGGGTCAGGATGTATGAGAAGCAGGTATGGCCCTCATTTGATGAGCAGACTGATCGTGTTTGTTTTCCTGGAGTATGGGAGGGTAAAATGGTTGAATTAATGTCGAACAAGATTGTTTATGGCTCCAAGAAGTTCTGGAGCACAGGTTTGTATGCCTTGGTATAAATTGGACATAAAGAATGAGTGAAACCACATGAGCGATTCTGAGTGATCTTCGACGACCTGCGAACGACCTGCACCCCAGGTGGGACCCTTTGGGATGCAGCGAAAGCGGGCAACATCGCGGCAGCAGCTTGGAGAAGTCGGTCGTTGCCACCGCGGTCGTTGTTGGCTAGTAGCAAGAAGCTACTACATTGGAGGCCTCTGCTACTAGGGTGGAGGCCATCTCTGCTGCTAACAACCTACTAGTAGCTCCTGGCAAAGCTGCTTGCTAGTAACAAGAAGCTACTAGGAGCATGAAGCTACTAGGGGCTCCTGGCCTTGCTACTAGGAACAAGAAGCTACTAGGAACAAAGGGCATCGCTACGAACGGAGCAAGGACGCTACTAACGGCTCCTGGCCTTACTACTAGGAACAAAGACCCTGCTAGGCGCTCCTGGCCTTACTACTAGGAACAACGTTCGCTATTAGAAACAATACATAAATAGGATTAGAGTTAAAGTTAAATCTTATTAGAATTAATCAGAATTTGAAACTAGAAGCTACTAGGACCTTTTCGCGCTAGTATGGCAACTCGGTCCGTGTCGACTTCGGTCGGTGTGGCGGCTCGGGAGCCTCCGGCCGTTCGCCGCTGTCCTCGCTGTCTCAGGTGCGGCACTTCCGGAAGAAGGGCACTCCCAGCATTGAAGAGAAGGACTCAACAGGCGTGAGTTTGAGAACCGGCGAGTTTTAGGTTGGATGCAGCTTGTTCGCAGTCTTCAAACATCTTCAAATACAAAACAGCTGAAGAAAAAGAACAAATTAACAAAATAACTACTAGTAGCAAGGACGCTACGATCGGGGCTCCTGGCATCGCTACGAACGGAGCGAGGACGCTACGATTGGGGCTAAATGAAGAGATCTGGACAGGTCAGATGGACACAGCATAGACACGTGTACGCCAAGCGCTTCCTTTAGAGTTCGTCCCACTGCCACAGTCCGCCCACGAGGCAAGTGCGCGTTGTTGCTGGCGGCAGAGCAAACCCAAATGGACTTGGTGAAGTTTCTTTTGGACTCTTGGTCTTGTCTTCTTGCCTTGTTTTTGCTTGACACATAGTCGATGGTTGTTCTTGCTTGCTATGAAATCGCAGGTCCCAACCGGATTTTACCAACCGGATTTACATGGAGAAATTGTTTGGCCAGCCTTGGACCTGGCATTATGAATTCGAGTCGCTGAACCTGCGCGAACTGTCGCTTAGCGGGTCCTCTTTGCACAGCCAAGGACTGTGGAGCAAAGACAGAAGCCAAAGACAACGAAGGCCGTTTTTGGGTGTTCGCTTCGGAGACTCAATGTATTTCAGAACAGGAGTCTTTTTGTGTGTGTGTTTTTTGGTTGTTGAGTAGGTGGTAGGCTTCAGTCAGCTTTTAAGTATAGGCCGCTGCTGCCACCAACCTAAGAGCGATGGCCTCCAACCAACTTGCGATGCTCTCGCACTCTTCATTTGGTTCTAGATCTTGGGGGAAACTTGACTTGGGCCACAGGTCACTTTCATCAGCCAAACCAACACTGCTATACAACGAGTGTGTGTGTGAAAAAGACTTGCAACGTGGGAAAACGAGTGCTGGTGGCCATTTGGGGCACTGCCTCATCCCAACAACTCATGGCCATAGCCTCCGGTTCTGTTTCCAGAGATTTAACTTCCTGACCTTTGAAAGTGGCGCCGCAAAGGTCACTACATTGTGGAGGGTGTGGTTTTCAGGATGTTTTGAACACATGGGTACTTACCAAATCTCCAATTCACACACCTTCGTTAGTTCATTGAAGGAAATGCACAAAGAAATGATGCCAAGCAAGTCTTCCTTCGGGAAGAGGTTGAAAGACTCAGAGGCCGCTGTCGGACACTCAGGCGCTACAGCCCTGCACTACGCCGCCTCGAAGGGCCATGTCGAGTTGGTTCGCTTGCTTCTGGACCGAGGTGAAAACGAGAAGCGCTTATATAAACGAGAGAAAGAAGAAAAGAAAAGACACATGCAATGCGTTTTTCATGTTTGTGTTCTTTGTTATGTTTTTAAGCAAGAGAATGAAAACTCGGAGCATTGTTAGCCTGGATTGTGAAATGAATGAGGTGGATGGTCACAACACTGGCAACATCCCCCCCAACCAAAAAGAGTCTGTGTAGTGATCAGTTGGGTGCCAGTGAGCAGTGTGGCCAATCCCTCAAGTTGCCAAGGTCGAATCCTTTTTCCAGCCAGGTGCCAACATCGAAGCGAAGGACGACAGCGAATGTTTGGTGCCCAGAGTGAGAGTGTAGAAGCGCCGCCGGATGGGTCATGTGGGGTGTGAGAACGAGCAAACGAATCGGCCAACTCAGCTGTTTAGCAAGAAACGTCTATTTTTTCCCTCTCCTCACCTGCTCAGGTGGCACACCTTTGCATTTGGCTGCCTCGAATGACCATGCGGAGGTGGTTCGAGTCTTGTTGGACAGTGGTGCCGATGTGAAAGCCAAGGACTCTCAGGGCCACATGGCAGCAGGGCCACCACGACCAGGGCAGCAGTTGCACCTCAACCGTTGGGTTGTTTTCAGGTGATTTGAGGGTGTGTTGCTGATGGGTAGAGGATTCTTCAGACGTTAGTTGTATTGCTTGACGTTCCTAGAACTGGCGAGACCCGTAACTACATTTAGCTTGGTAGTTTTCTAGAGGGACATATATAGATGCTGCTCAGGCATGTCCCTTGGGAGGGAAGAAAGAGCATGTACTAAAAATATCAACATGTTCTGTCTGCATCCTCCTTGTGCATGTACACTGAAGGCAGGCATACATCATTTTGAAGCTTGAAAGAATAGAGGCATGTCATCATGTCTTGTCCCTGAAGACCTTCAGCCCCTCAAACCACCCTGTTTGAGGTCAGACGCCCTTGCACCGTGCAGCACCATATGCCCATGCTGCTTCCAGCCGCTTTCTGCTGGATGGTGGTGCAGAGATCAATGCGAAAGACTGTCAAGGCCCTTCGGGCCTTCACTGTGCCAAGCGGCAAAGTCATTTCAACGTCATGGGCAAAGTCCATTTCTTGTGTTTGAGAAGCAGAATGCCCCACCACCCAGTTGATGTTTTTTTGTCGTGTAACATGCAGGCAGCCGCCGTAGCCCCTCCTTGTGGCCGACAATATTGGTCATACCATGTCATACCCAAAGGCGGCGTCTCTGTGGTTGAATACATGGATGATGTGAAACTGAGCTCTAGGCGGTGTCTGTCTGGATATTTCCGATTGACTCGAAGGATCGGGTGTTCTGCTTGGTCACTGACCACGGTTAGTCCTAAACGGGCTAGTCGTTGGGTTCATTGTCAAGGCGGGAGATGTCTACATGCATGCGCGGTGTCACATTGCGTTTGCCTTTGCGATGCAGTCCTGAATATTCCCACTGGAGACCCGTTGGGCTGACCTGGTTCTTCCTCCCTCGTTGGAAGGTGAGGTATAGCGGTCCCTCCTGACCAGGGCGCTGTTGCGCTGGTTGGCCATACAGTATCCATATAACGTTGAAGTGCTGCTCTAGTATTGGATATGGTAAAATGCCATGGGCCTGGGTGCCCAAGGGGTGAGTTCTTCTACCTTCCCCGCTCTGACTGGCGAAGCCACAAATCCGCAGACACGACATGGAATTCCATGGATGTGTGCGAAGGTGAGACCCCACTGCACCAAGCTGCTTTGCAAGGCCATGTGGAGGCAAGGAAGGGTGGTTGGTCGAAGTTGATCAACTTTTTCACTCCGCCCGCACAAACTTGTTGTGTATACCGCATGTATTCACACCACACCTGTTTGACCGACTCCATTACTACGCCCGTGTAAGTCTTGAACCTGTGTGCCCACTGCCACGAAAACTTGAAAGACCCAGCAAGATGCTTAAAACCGATGCTTTTTGTCACACCTCACCACTCTAGGTGGTCCGCTTCTTGCTGGAGCGCAAGGCTGACCTAGAGGTCACTGACGACGATTTTGGTGACTGGGAAGGGAAGGGAGGCCATTGGTGCCGGGTGTCTTGCATGCTTTTCAGAAGATGTCAGGTCTTGGACTGAACTACTCGCTACAACAGGCTTGAGGGAACTTTTTCTTCTAGCCCTATTGCTGCCTTTGGGTGGTAAGCAGGATTTTTAGAATCTGCACAAGGTCCTGTTGATTCAAGCTTCAAACTACATCAAGACCAACGTACTCAGCAGTCAAGCTGAGATGTGTTCAATGTTGCAGTGGAACATTTGAGTGAACACGGGTGAATGCAACACCCATTGAAAGAAGTGGCATTGATGCCTGCACTGCCTAACTTGGTGTTTGAGACTTCAAGCTGAGGTGAGACACCATTGCATTTTGCAGCCGCGTGTGGTCACAAAGAGATGCTTGGGTTGCTAAAAGTATCGACATACATGTGTTGGCTTTACGTTCCTGTTTTGTTTTGTTTGGGGCTTGGTGTGGAGTGATTGTCTAGGCCATCACCCCTTCATCTGCAAACTGTTCACCTGACCTATCGCAAGCAACTTAGAGTACCAAAGAATTCTTTCTTGCAAGGGACAAAGGTTTTTCATGCGCTGTTTATCAAATAAGGCAAGTTCCTGTCAGGTTCCTTCGTTGTGAGAAACCATCTGGAGCCGTTTTGAAGCTTTGAGAGTGCAGCCCAGGATGGTTGAGTTATTGCTTGACAACCGCGCCAACATTGCAGCGAAGGACCGAGAAGGTGCTAAGCCTTACAGTCTTTACAGCCCGTTTTGTCATGGTGCTTGCCCCCAAAAAGTGTTTTTTCTTCGATCTTTTGAAGCGACATCAAGAGTGGTGTTTTGCTATCCAGGCTCGTCCGCCTTGGATTTGGCAAAGAAGAGCAGCCGAAGTGTGGTCGTTGAACTCTTGGAGAAGCGAGCTCAGTGAAGCCTGCTGGAGCCAGGCATGGATCTGTGGTGACACAAACTGATGTGTTTTTTCACTGGCAAGTTCGACCTCCAAATAGTTGAAATGCAGTCCCATAGTTCTTCAGTATAAGTCTTCCAAATGCTCAGCCAGGTCTGGAAATTTCATTGATTTGCTTAATTCGTGGATAATGCATCGAATTTGCGAACGTTCAAGAAGAAAACTAGACGACAGGGTGGCCCAAAAGCACAGAAGCAGATGACAGAAGGTAACGATGAGCATGAGGATTGTAACGAGGACGATGATGATGATGATGCTGATGCTGATGTTGATGATGATGATGCTGATGCTGATGGTGATGGTGATGGTGGTGGTGATAATCGTGATGATGAATTTTATGGTGCTAATGCCAAGCCTCGTGGCACTGCCAATCACGGACTCACGCAAACACTTTGCACCGAGGCCGCACAAAACCGTATGGCAGTGACATCCTGGACGTATTTTCGCCATACAGAGTGCTAGTTTTGCGGCCAGCTCCTGGAAGCCGCTTCCTACACTATTTGCACTATGAAGTGCCAGTTCTGAGGCCACACGACATTTCCACTACAAAGTTACTAGTCATCAGGCCGCACCTCCCAGCTGCTTCCCGTGCTTAATGATGATCACGATGTTGCTGATGACGCTAGGGACGATGATGATGACGATTTTCGTGATGATAATGCTCAGCTTGATATTTGTGATGATAGTTGGACAATTAAAATGGACAACCGTTTTTTACAGGGAGTTAGTTTTGTAAATAGATAAATCTATTGTTTCTATATTGGGTTTTTATATGTGTGAAGTATTTATATATGGTATTTATGATCGATTAATGATTTTTGTTTGAGGCGGATTTATATGGAGCGTTAATAAAAATAGCATTAATCTTAGTTTATTTTAATTCGAATTTATTTTAAATAGAATTTAATATAGATTAATCTAAGTTTATTGATGTTTAATTAATTTAATGTTTATTTAGTTTAATTTTGTTTTAATTTAAATTGATTTTAATTAATGTTAATTTATTTTAATTGAATTAAATGTTGGATTTATTTTTTTCTATTTAAATTAAAATTTAAATTAATGTTTTTAGCATGTGAATCGTTAATATAAGAAATCGAAAGATTGAATGAAAATTGTTAATGTTATTTAAACGTATTGTTTTATTGTTTCGTCGTTTTATTGGAAGGTTTAAGGGTGTTTATTTCGGAATCGAAATATGGAATGAAGATATTCGTATTAAAATGAAAAGGTGTTTGATTATATAATAATTTATATTTAATATATTTATAGAATTTATATTTTTAGTATAATAAATGTCGTTATTAATTTTGAATTGAAATTAAAAATTAATAATTAAATATTTTTTACATTAATTATTCGTAAGAGAAAAATATATTGAATTTAAATTGTAATATTTTAAAAATTTTAATAGTTTAAAATATTTTAATGTAGTTATGAAAGCTAGTTGGAATTTAATTTGTAATATAGTAAGGACGATGGAAGCTAAGGATTTTAATGTTATTATCTGATATATTAGGATTATATTTTTTTTCGTCCCGTTGATCGGGTTTAATTCTATTTTTCTTTTCTTTAGTTTTTGTTGTTGTTGCTTGGTCGCTGTTATTATTCGTATCTTATTTGTGTTTGGCTTTTGGTTGCTTGGTATTGCTGGCTGCTTATTGTTTGCTCCGTTTTGTTGTTGTTGTTGTTTGGGGTTGTTGATTGTTGTTGGTGTTTTAGAAAGCCTATTCGTTTGAATCGAGAGTAATTGCATTCTTTCTGAGTCGTGAAATGATATTAAATTTTTTATGTCTTTAAGAAATTTAAATAGGCATGTATCTACCCCATAATCTCTAAGAGCATAAATTATAATACACTATCCGCTATTTATGTAGATTAAAAGATTATACTTACTACACACACGAATAACAGAACTCAGTCAGATATTTGAACGGGCTGTTTGCTTCATTTATGGTAGTCCGTGTTCCATGTTCGAGCGACAGGGAGCACGCATAAGCGTTACGATGGAGTCTTCGGTTGGGGAGACATGTTCGCATGCATTCCCTAGATGTTAATTATGCACACCGCTACCTTTATCTTCCTTAGTTTTTGGTTGTTGTTGCTTGGTCGCTGTTGTTGTTCGCATCTCATTTGTGCTTGGCTCTTGGTTGCTTGGTGTTGCTGGCTGCTTATTGTCTGCTCCGTTTTGTTGTTGTTGTTGTTTGGGGTTGTTGATTGTTGTTGGTGTTTTAGAAAGCCTATTCGTTTGAATCGAGAGTAATTGCATTCCTTCTGAGTCGTGAAATGATGTTAATTTTATTATCTCCTTAAGAAATTTATATAGGCATGTATCCACCTCATAATCCCTAAGAGCATAAATTAGAATGCACTATCCCCAATTTATGTAGATCAAAAGATTATATTTACTACACACACGAATAACAGAACCCAGTCAGATGTTTGAACGGGCTGTTTGCTCACTCATGGAAGTCCGTGTTCCATGTTCGAGCAAAGGGGAGCACGCACAAGCGTTACGATGGAGTCTTCGGTCGGGGAGACATGTTCGCATGCAACCCCTAGATGTCAATTATGCACACCGCTGCTGGTTGCGTCAGCAGGGGTAGAGTCTTCGCGCCCCAACATTTGGTTTCGAACAATCGCACGTTTTGGTGTTGCCTGACTAATTGTAGAAGGACGACGTCGAAACAGATGTATCTGATGTCTTTCTACAAATGATCATTGTTGCTGCTGTTTCTTGGTGGCTGGTGGTGCTGCTTTCTAGCTGCTGCTGTTGCGTGCTGCTTGCTAGTTATTGCGTTGTGGCTGTTGCTGCTGCTGCGGTTGCTTGGGTGGTTGTGTGGTGCCATGTCACGAAAGGTAGTTGCAGCTGTCTTGTTTTAGCAAGGAGGTTGGGAGCGCAAGGACGTGAGTGTTGTTATCTGATATATCAGGGCTTGAAATAGCCTCTTCTCTTCCTCGCTACCTGGTTGCTGTTGTTTGGTGCTTGCATGCTTGGTGCTGCTGGATGCACACTTAGTAAGCAATCTCTTTAGTGTGCACTGCCACCACGAGCAGGGGGTTATCTTCAGCACCCTCTTCTTTGGGTCGGTATCCGTAGCCCCCTTCACTTCCGCGAGTCTTTCCCACCATTTGGTCTGGAGCAAATAGCAGATATTGGTGTGCCTGAATAATTGTTGAAGGCCTTCGCACGAATAAATCCTGACGATGCAGCCAGCAACGCCTCCCCACACAGAAGGATCACAAGCTGCAAACGCTGCTGGAGACCACACAAACAAGCAGCTTTCTGTGTGTTGGTTTTTGAAAATCAACCACTCGATGCAGTTCACAGTCAGATTTGCCTTTTTCAATTGTCTCACCACCTAGAAGCTCCCTACACGCGTTTGGGACAAATCCTCGGTTTGCAGCTGTTGGCAGCTCACGCACGCGGCCGTCTCTGTCCTGTCAAAATCTGACGACAGATAGTGCGACGATGCCTGCTTCCAGGAAAGAGTCAGAATTCGGTTCAGATTTGCAGCTCGCCCTTTCTCACCTAAGTCGAGGCAGGCCGTGCATCCTTTGGTGTTGAAGCATTGCGATCTCTTGAAGAAGCAAAAAGTTTGGAAAACCTGTGAGGGTTGAGAATTGCTGGGGAGAAAGCGTTTGGCCTGTATGATGCTCTTGATCGAAAGCAATCAAGCTTCCGGGTCAATGGTCAGCTGCTTTTTTCGGCAGTCTGATTGCAGCCTTGCACGCTTGGTGCATGTTTGTTTGCTACAAAAGCTTGTGGTGGACATCCGCCGTGAGTCGACCTAGCGCCCTGAGACCAAATGTTGTGAACCCATTCTTCGTATTTTGTGGTCTGTGTACAGGTTTTGTTTTCCGGGGAATATGCGCGTGTGTGGCCATTGGGCCGGAGATTGGTGTTCACAGTGTATTGGCACAGGTTTTGACACGTTAACTTTCCAATCGCCCAGAAAATTTTTTGAGATGTTTTTGCATAGAAAATGTCTTCAATTAAAAAATCAAATCGAAAATTACACGGGCAAGGGACCCCAAACAATGTGCAGAGGAACAGATGGAATAGGGACCAACAACTTCCAAAACGAAGAACAAAAAGCTTCCAAAACGTCTGCAACTCACAAGCCACCGTCGATCGAGGCCTGATCAGAACGCTGATGGCAATGGGCTTGCTCCCCATTCCTCGCAAGCAGGAAGCTCACACCAGCATCTGTTCCCTTCTTGGCAGCCGCGACCACTCAGGTTCAGTGTAATCACAGAAGTTAAAATTCTTGATAGATCCAAATTTTGCATTCATAAATGATGAAACGATGAAACTAACTTTGACAGCAACCACTGTGGAGCGAAGTGCGTTCAACTCAAGACGTCATGCTGTGTTTTCCCAGTGGGTGGCCAAGTGACACGGCATCCCGTGCCGAGTGTTCAATCGTGTGCTCTGGTTCATGGTGGGTAGTGTCATCATTGATCATTGTTGCCTCGATTTTAAGGCAATGATTTGGTGTTTCCGGTGGCCTTGAGGCTGCAGCTCGGCGATCAACCTGCCACACACCCATTTCCTTTTGGTTATTCGTTTGGAAGCTTCCGGAACGATGGGTGCGACCGGGTCTCGGATCATTCTCGGAGCATGCTCGGAATCGGTGAAGATTTCGTAGCAGGTGCAGTCTTTGTGAACCTCCATGTGCAGATTTCGTGGCAACAGCACTTTGGGTATCCATGTGCAGATTGCACACAGCAACGAACTTTTTCATGCCAATATCATCAAAGATGTCATTGGAACGAACACCTTTGCAAAATTTGGTTTTGCACTTTGCTCTCCGAAACCCCGTTCCATCCCGCCTGGGCTTCCATAAATCTTGCATACCAACCCTCGTCAGCTGTGCAGAGCTCGGCTACATGCTCGTTCACGCGCTACCAGCGAATGTAACTGCTACGAAGTACCCGTGCACAAGCCCTGGCGATGACGCGGCCTATTAAGTGTGTATACTTGTGTACAACACACACGAAGCTGAGCAAAGAAACAAAAAACAACTCGAAACAATGTCAAGGTTCAGGCGGTTTTTTTGCTCCTGTGCGTCATTTCTGCTTGGGCCCCATATGGTGGCATAAAACGTTCGTGGGGGTGTGGAGAATAATTTTGTGGAAGAAATTTTTTCCGGACTTTTGACCCACAGGATTCCACTTGT